GCGGTCAGATGACATTCTCTTGGGCTGCGGTCCACTGTTTGGTTGCGATCAAACACTATGATGAGCTGCGATTCATCGGTCGGTTGCGATCGACCCCTCCGTGTTGCGATACGGGGCAAGGTGCTGCGGGGCCGTGTCAGAGCTATATGCGCTGACCCTCATGTATGGGCATGCGATTGGTCCTGTGGCGCCAACAAAGTGTGTTATGTGTTGTGACATGGACGAGTTGTGATTATGAGTGTCTTGGGGGATGTGACTATGGGATTTATATTGGGGATTGTTCATGTTGGGTTATGATCATTGTTTATGCTTTGCCTTATCTGCCTTATCCGTTGTGAACTGCATATGCTCGTTACAACTGTTGCTTGTGTCTGGCCTTATCTGTCGAGTCATTCCCGGTTTTAAAGCTAGAGTTCGTAGGATATATCTTCATGCTCAAATGATTTTCGTATATCTATATATATCTCTATATGTATTGTATTTCAACGCGTTGGAGTGGGTTACCAGCATCTCTCGCTGAACAGATATATTTGGCTTTCAGGCACAGAAGATTAAGTCACTGGAGTGCGCTAGAACTTAGAAGTAGATAGTTTCCCTTTTTGGCCTGCGTGCCACATTTACGTATTTACGCTTTGAGGATATTAGTTAGTTAGCCTGTGCACTTGGGTTCTCTAGCCCAGGTGTGGCATAGCACCCCGAACGCTTGTATTTATCTTGGGATTTAATAAGATTCTACCTTTATTATAAGTTTTAAATGTCTTGAAAATCTGGGGTGTTACAAAGCCTTTCAGCATGACTCCTATCTACCATCGTCTCCATAAAAAACACGAACTCGGGCCTCTTCTTGGACACTAAGTCCACCACCTCGCGAACCGTCCGTGGATTACCCAATCCACGGCAGTTCCAGAATAAGGTACTCATTGGGAACGGCGGGCCTGGTCCCCAAGTCCCACCAAATTTAAAAAACCAGAATCCACCTGCATGTCCTTCCCCCCATCACCCCTCCTCCGCCTTTTAGGATCTGCCCGTACCCCTTCCTCCGCCATCTCAGCACCCTCCGGCGAAACAGTAGCCGGAGTTTCCAGCACCACTCCTACAATAGCCCCCGCCAACACCTTACCCGCAGCCTCTCCCCCCGTAGCAGGACGCAGATCCCCAGTCTGTCCTCCCCCCGGTAACACACTGCCATACCCAATCTCCCGCCGGCTCTCTCGGCCAAGCTGAAACCATTTATCACCTAACTCCGTCGCCGGATTCAACCTGCCCGCCCTCAATCCCGGGCCATAAAGATACTGAGCTGGCTCCAAAGATGAACGACGAGCCTCCATCTGTGTGTCCCATCCTCCCACAAAAAAAAAATAATAAAACATATGCAGGCGTTCATATTTGAAGTTGATCCAAACCCAAGAACCATCGCGCAATATCATCTTCATTCGACGCTTCAGAGGATTGGAGACGTCATGCGTTACGCGCACACGGTAGAAAGCAGTCCAAGGTCTCACAAAGCACCGGTCATCAACACGCAGAAACACCCCTACGAAATCACCCACCTTCTCCAAAACTCTCTCTGTGCGATATCCAATTGGCACCTCAAACACCTGAACCCAAAGATCCACCGTGTTCAAAACCATCTGCGCCGGATGATCATTCCCTTCCAACTGCTGGCAGAGAAACGTTGCATTCTCGAAAGCCCATGGTCCTTCGTCGAGAACACGACGCCGGTTAGCGTCGTCAAAAAAAGTAAACAGAAACAGCCCAGGCTGCACATCAGCTATCTCAATCCCCATCAACGGACGCCATGCAGACGCCATAACCCGCTTCATCATCTCCGTCTTCAAATTCCGATAAGTCAGGAACCGGCCTACAATTGACCACGTTCGCCGCTCCGTAGCTAGTTCGACCCAGCCCGTTGGCTCGTCCTCAAACCGGACTCCCAAGTCCTCATCCTCTAGTGTTATTTCAGCAGTGCTATTGATAATATCCTGAACATCCATGTCGTGTAGCCAAATCGCACGTAGCGTAGAAGCTTCCTTCAATGGCCGGTTGCGTAGAAACCCTAGATTCCAGGGAGATATTGAGAGAACCCTAGAAGCCAGGGAGAAAAATACCTATTTGTGGAGAAATGATATAATCTTGAAGAATCAGTCTTCTTGTGTGGTGTTTAGTAAGAGTGATTACTGTTCACTTGGACTATTTACTACTCATCGAGCTTGGAATCCCCTTGGGCAATCGTTATGCTATGGACCTGTGTCCAGCATGCATGCTGGACATGGGTAACAGTGCTGTTAGTGGCACTGTTATCTTCTACTTAAAAAAAAAAAAATTAAGACTGCTTCGTTATAGGAGTATATGTTCATAAATTTATTACTATATGTTCATAATTGTAAGTTCATAATGTCAGAGCTCTATGTTCATAATTCCATAACTGTACATTCATACTTCCATAATTGTACATTCATAATTCCGTAACTGTACATTCATAATTCAATAACTGTAACTTCATAATTTTCGAAGCTCTATGTTCACAATTTTAGAGCTCTATGTTCACAATTTTAGAGCTCTATGTTCATAATTTTATCACTATATGTTCATATTGTAAGTTCATAATGTCAGAGTTCTGTGTTCATAATTCCATAATTGTACATTCATAATTGCATAACTGTACATTCATAATTCTGTAACTGTACATTAATAATTCAATAACTGTAAAATCATAATTTTCGAAGCTCCATGTTCACAATTTTAAAGCTCTATGTTCATAATTTTATCACTATATGTTCATAATTGTAAGTTCATAATGTCAGAGCTCTGTGTTCATAATTTTATAACTTACATTCATAATTCCATAACTGTACATTCATAATTCTATAAATGTACATTCATAATCCCATAACTGTACATTCATAATGGCACAAACGAATAACGCCGTTAACGGCGAGACAAAATCATTTTTTTTTTTAAACTGGAATGACGCGTTTTCCCTAAAAACGACGTCGTTTTGGACTCACTCGTGTCCACAATGCATTGTGGACACGGGTCCAGGGCATAATTTGCGCCCCTTGGTGTGTGTCACATAGGTTTTGATCCAATTTCCATTACCCTGTTTGAGTGGTAGTCAGTAGGAAAACCTGACTACTTGGATCAATACTACCCAGTGGGCTTGGAACCCCCGAGAGGTGCACACTTAATGTCTTAGTCCAATTTCTAAATAAGTGGGTTCCAAAAAGAGTATTACTTCTCCATACATAAATATCAATTCTCCACACTCGTATCTATAATTAGATTTTGAAGAGAAAAATATATCTCCTTATATTTTGGAAGTATATTATTATGAAAAGTATATTACTATGAAGAGTTATGGTATAGTTTGTTTTGATAAAATTATTTCGAAGAGTAATTCGATAATATTCTATTTGCCCTCCTACTGCGTATATTTTAAATACAAGATTAAATACAAGATGTGTGATAGCTTGGTAGTTAAGAACTTGTGTTGTTATACTTGATGGATGATCTGTGAATGGAATAATATTCTTTTGAAAGGTGTATCAATGCCCTTTTTTTTTGTGAGAAAACTTTTTAGCCTTACCAAATTGTAAAGTATTAGGGTAAAAATCTTTTGGAAATTGTTTTGGAAATGTTTATTAAGTCTTTGACTGGCATTTTGAAATATAACTTATTTTCAAAGTTATATATAACTTATTCGCCAAAGACCTTGAGGTCAAGTTGCATGAAGTGACTCACCCAAATGAAATGTCATATTCCGTATGTAGAGGCATAACACCCTTTTGTTTCAGATTTTATTTTGCTGCATTTTAACTCTATTTTCAAGTAAATAAATGTCTTTTATTTTGAATATTCCGATTTTATAAAAAATGGAGGTGTTACACAAGGGTCCATACACCTCGGCCTGACAGAACATTTGGGATGATGTAAATTAAATGCCGGTGCATCCATGGGAACTGTTCACTATAGACATGATCCCACAGTTCAGCCGCCGAAGTTAAAACCTTAGTCTCTTCTCCCAACTATTGACTAAGTCCGCGGGCAACAAGAAAAATATTTGATGTACTCCCAAAACTTTATTCCCAACTTTTATTCTCTGTGTTCAAATTTGATTGGAGGAAGAAAAAAAATGAATAAATAAACATCATGGCCCTTATGACCCCCTACTAAGTTGAGTAGTCAAAGCATGCTAAATCATATAGAGTATAAAATGAGAGTACAACAATTCTCTTCTATCTTAATTTTATGGGAGAGTAAAAGACATTTTTGGTCATAGACTTATAGTGGCTTGGACAATTTTAGTCCTTTATAAAAAAATTTGTCATTTTATGGACAGAGTTATTATGGCGAGGACATTTTTGGTCCTCCATCTATATTTCTGTTAGATAACCGTATGAGAGAGGAGCAATTACGTCAATTTAGGCTATCTCTTTATTGTGAGATGGACGATTTTGGTCCCACAACCATGCCTTTACTCTGATCCTCATTTATTTGTAGTTTTGCACTACGAAATGCTCTGCCCACAACCATGCCTTTACTGCAACTTGGACTCTCCGACTCCTTCAAATTATGACCGAGAAGAAAACAAAACACACATAGATATAATAGATAGAAGGAGATAGCCTAAATTGACGTAATTACCCCTCTCTCAGACGGTTATCTAATAAAAATATAGACGGAGGATCAAAAATGTCCTCGCCACAATAACTCTGTCCATAAAATGATAAATTTTTTTATAAAAGACTAAAATTGTCCAAGCCACTATAAGTCTAGGATCAAAAATGTCTTTTAGCGTCGGAATCAGCAAAATCTGGGCATCAGACGTGTCGATGTCTTGAGAGTTCATGTCCACTTCTTCCACATTCACACCACTCTAACCGACAAATATTGTTCTTCGATTAAACCTCTCTTTATACTTTTTCAGTTTTCGCAGGTGGCAGGGTTTTCGGGGTCGTAAATTCAATCAAGATTTTATCTGGTGGTGGTGGTGGGGAGAAGAGAATTGAAGGATGGGGAGGATATTTGTGGTGGATCTTGAAGGCAGGACTTACAACTGCAAATTCTGCAAAACCCACCTAGCTCTTGCTGATGATCTTGTTTCCAGGGTACTGTTTTTCCCCCATTGTTACTTGTTTGTGTTTCTGGTTTATACTTGTGGCGTAAATCATGCTTTTTGGAGTCACTGAAATGTTCAACTTATATTTGTTTGATAATCTCTGTGTTTGTATGTTATGACTTATGAATGTAAATTCTTGCCTTGTGAGGATTAGGTTTGTAGTTTTGATGAACTTTTGGTGTACAAAAATTGGTTCTTGGAAGCAAGAATTGTCAAGCTTGATGTTTATTTGGCTCAGGGCTTACTAGAGTTATGCATGTACCCCCCAAAAAACATGGAAAAAGGTTTCTAAAGACAAATGATTAGTCTAATGTTGCATAGATTTGTATGTTCTAATTCTGATTTGGGAATTGGGATAGTCTCTCCTCACCTAAACTTTAATGTATAAAGAATAAGCTCTACTTGCCCGCACGGGCTTAACTCACTAGTTTAGTAGTCACTAGTTCAGTGGTCACTAGTTCAGTGTAGTATTTGGGAGAAAAGGCCAAGGTTCGAACCTCGGCAGCGGATGTTCTATCGGGGCGGGGTGTGGGGAGGGAGAAGAAAAAGCTCTACTTGGACCAAACAATCACACATTGAACTATTAGTTAGGGTTGTTGGGTTGACAACCTTGTTCTTTTGATTTTCTGGAGTTGCATAAGTTAGTCATTCTGCAATGCAGGTACTTTAGGCTTTACACATTTAAACCAAGATGTAGCACTTAAGCTTCAGACATAGCTGTCCGAATTTTGACTACTTGACTAAACACCAGCCCATTCCAATGCCTTGACTAGGTGAGGAGGAGACGCGGTGGTAACCTTGCACACAGAAGGACTCGGGTTCCAAATCAGTGTCCTTTAATTCCTAGTGCTGAATGAAAGAACACAATTGTTATAGGAAATGTTGGTCTGTCTTTGATATGGGAACCTCGCATTTGATATTAAGGAGGATTTGGAATGTTGAAAGTTACATTTTCTCTGTCCCTGTGGTTCCATTGCTGAGAGTCTCTTTGTTCTTTGAAGTTGTTGTTTTGGATACATCACCATACCCTAGCGGCTAGCCTCACATTTTCTAGTCTTATTTTTATTCAGGCATTTCACTGCCGCAGAGGAAAAGCTTACCTATTCAGTAATGTGTGAGTACGTTTACTATAATACTTACAGATGGAAACTATTTCCATGTTTCTGTTTAAAAACACTCGATTTGACTGTAAGATCGAACATTTGCACAACCATTACAGATACGTGACTCCTTGTTAGGAACTAGAAAGTAGTAATTTTTAGTGAAACAGAGCTTAATTTTTCAATGCGTGATTGCATTTCTTAACTTACTAAACGAGATGTTAGTAGAAACCGGTTTGCATTGAGCCATTGACTTCCTCCATCTACAAGATAAAGGTGAGTTATGTTTACTGGTAAACAGACATGTAAGCATAGTGTTCTTTGACTGACAGACACATGACATGTTTGAGTCCAATTTCTTCTAGAGTACTTAAATATTTCAGTCTTGTTTACGGTTCAGGGTGAATAACATGGTTGGACCTCTGGAAGAAAGGATGATGCTCTCGGGGATGCATACTGTTGCAGATATATTTTGTTGCTGCTGTGGGCAAATAATCGGCTGGAAATATGTAAACCCTTACCCTCCTGCTGTCTCGATCTCCCCTCCCTCTTGTCATTGCATTTCACTCGATACATTTAGCTAATAACACATTCCCTGCATGCATGCATGCAGGAGGCTGCACACGAGAAAAGCCAGAAGTACAAAGAAGGGAAATTCGTCCTCGAAAGGTATGATAGATATATTCATTCACCCCACCTCATTGTACGTTTTGATTGTTTAAGGTTTTGCAGTTGTGGGAAATGGTTTGACATGATTGATGATATGTTGAGCAGAGGGAGGATCATAGATGGAGGAGACTCAGAATTCTACATAGGAAATCACCCCATCTTGAGTGATGCAGAAGATGCATAGAAGAGATGAATTAGTTTGTGATCTAAGTGTATGTTGTACTCAAACTTTGGCAGTATGTATTGTGCTTGCAGATATGGAATCAACAACAAATTGCTGCCTGCTTATGTATTTCATTTTTTTTTTTTTTTTTTTTGTTAGAGATTCTCTTGCATCCTAAGTTTATCACATTGTAATCAAACTTGGGTGATTGGGAAAACTTATAGCCACAATTTGAGCTGAGTGTGTACGGAATTAATTTTGGTTGATGATTTTAGTCGGTAAAAAGATTATAAGGAGGTAAAACAATTAGATTGCTTATAGCTGATCGGTTAATAGGTCATTTTTATTGAGAGTTGAAGTAGTAACCTTTTGGCCAATTTAGCCGGGGTTACTTAAATTTTTGATTAACTGACGGTGAGCTATGATGCAAGTTGGTTCATCTGTTGGGGTTAGGACATAATTCAGAAATAGAATAATATGATCAAGATTATACTTATTTTGGCATTTACAATGATTCTCACCTTTAAAAAAAGAAAAAAAAAAAGAAATTGTGAGTTCAATTCCTCCATAATCCATATCATCTTATAATTTTTTCTCCTTTTTTTTTTTTCACTCTTAAACATCATTTATTACGTTATTTATTTATCTATAATCAATAATTTTAATATTATAATTATAATTTCTAATAATGATTTTAAATAAAAATAAATTTAAGTAACAATATTATTATTTTAAAAAATAAATAAAAATCAAAATCGTAGAAACAAAAATGAAAAATAAATAATGTTTATCTAAATTAGTGTATACGGGAATGGAGATCTCGGAAACTGCTCTTTCTCAGCGGTCGTCTGAGGATCTAGATTTGTTGGTGAGGAGCACGAAGAAGGCTAAACGTAGCGAGCCTTTGCGACAGGTGCAGACGGAGAAAGGAGATACGGTGGATCACGGGATGGCTGACGTAGAAGTTGTGCATGAAACGCCAGCGGATATGATGGTGACGTCGGACCATGCGATCGCACCGGAGCTATGCAGAGGAGAGGACCCTGCACCGCTTTCAGGGAATCCAGTTGCGCCCGTCCAGCAAGTGACGCCAAGGAGGACGTACGCGGACAACGTGGTTGGTCACAATACAGCTGACCATGCGCCATGCAACGACCAGGTGATATCAGATTCTAGCAGCGATGAATCGGAACCGGAGGAGGATGATGATCCGCTTTGTCCCACGATCCGGTTGACCAAGAAGGAGATCGCGGCGATCCGAGCCCCGTGGAAGAAGACGCTGATAATCAAAGTGATGGGACGCAAGGTGGGGTACGCATACCTCAAGCGCAGACTGACTTCAATGTGGAAACCACAGGGACACATGGATTTGATCGCTATCGCAAATGATTATTTTCTGGTGCGGTTCGGAACAACCGAGGATTTGGAATTTGCAATGTACGAAGGGCCCTGGATGATCTTGGATCACTACCTGATTGTGAAGCCCTGGGAGCCGGACTTCGATCCATACAACGACACCACGGAGAAGGTATTGGTTTGGGTATGCGTTCCGGACTTACCTGCTGAATATTTTGATTGTATTTTTCTCAGGAAGCTAGGGAACCGCATAGGCAAGATAATCCGAGTTGATCAGGCCACTAGCTTGATATCTCGCGGCATGTTCGCCCGAATCTGTGTCGAGCTGGACATGCGGAAGCCTTTGGTGTCAAAATTTACCTATGGAGGAAAGATCAGGCACATGGCGTACGAAGGTGTGCATCTGGTATGTTTCTCTTGCGGCCTGTACGGACACACGAAGGAGACGTGCCCCGCACTAAGGGAATCTGTGCCTGAGCCGGGAGCCGCGACGACAGCCGCGGGAGCAAGCGTGAACGCAAGAGGCCGACATCCAATGGCGGGCCAGAACCCCAATGCGACGGCGGAAATTCTGGATCCTAAGATCCCCTTTGGAACGTGGATGCTTGCACCAACGCGAAGGGGGCGTGGGGGGGCGAAGCCGCAGGCCAGTCCGAAGCGCCATACAGCCGGCCAAGGAGTAGCAACTGGAGACATGGAGGCGTCTTTAATCCACGAATCCACCTTCGCACCACTTTTGGAGGATGAAGTCGCGACTGAGGCTCCCGTGCAGGCGGAAGAAGAACAGGATCAGGGGGCAGGTGTTAATGCTGAAAAGGAGACTGGGCGACAAGGCAGGCAATCACAGATGCAGGTAGGTGGAGGTGATAGGCCACGACGGCCTAATGTGGTGGTCAGCGAAGCTCAAATTCAAAATGAGCCCAGGATGGCACGGGAAACCTCATCGGCCACGAAGGCAAACACAAGTAGATTACGAAGGGCAGGTGGGGTCATCCCAAACGAGCTGCAGAGGAGGATGAGCATGTGATTGTGAGAGGCAAGCAAGGCGGTTTGTCCATAGTTTCAACGAGAGTAAGTATAGGTGCTTTGGCAGCGGACATCCCTTCTCCAGTCTGGCAAAGCACTAAAGAACACCACTCCGATCCTCCTCGACGGTTTGACGCGGAAGGCGATGTCGTAATGTCGACAGATGGGGTGACGGAGATTGACGTTGATGGGGGGGCGTTAAGCGCTCCATGAGTATGCTGGATCCTTTTTGTGTTTCTTTTGTGGTCTTTTTCTGACCTAGGTGTTTAATTTTGTTTATTGTTTTTATGGACTGCATGTTTTGGAATTGTCAGGGCGCAGGTGGTAGGCCATTCCTGCGTGCCTTAAAATACCTCCTCCGGACTTATAAACCTGGAGTTCTGGGACTTTTCGAACCGAAGATCTCGGGGACTCACGCTAACTCAGTCTGCATGCAATTGGGCTTCTCGGATTGGATCAGGGTGGAAGCTGTTGGCTTCAGTGGAGGCATCTGGGTCTTCTGGAAGGACCCGGTGCAGTTGACGGTTATTTCTACCCACCCCCAATTTATTCTTTTGCAGGTAAAGGAGGCGGGGCAGGAACCGTGGTACATAGCGCCAGTGTATGGAAGCCCGGCCCACTACCTTCGCAAACGGCTCTGGAGGGACCTGACTCATCTGAATTGTGGAATAAACGGACCCTGGCTCATCGCCGGGGACTTTAATTCCACGACATGCAGGGAGGAAACTTTGAATTATAGTTCCTATTCAGCACACAGATGCGCGGACTTTGTAAACTGGATCCAAGATGAAGGACTCATTGATCTGGGTTTTTCGGGCCCACCACTGACTTGGATGAAGGACGGCCAAAATAGGGACAGCAAGGGCGGGCGTTTGGACCGAGCCCTTTGCAACTCGGTTTGGAGAACTAGATTTCCAGAAGCACGAGTGACTCATTTAGCTCGGATAGCATCTGATCACGCTCCTATTTTTCTGCAGGTCCTAGGTGAAAGGCGAAGCCGCCCTGTGGCGCCGTTTACTTTTCAGGCGGCCTGGCTCACTAGACCCAACATTCACGACATGGTCCACCGAACTTGGAGGACTGACCGGGGTTTCATTGAAAACACTAAAATCTTGGCTACGGAGCTATCCACCTGGAACAAAGAGTCGTTTGGAAACATTTTCAGACGCAAGAAGATTCTTCTGTCTCGACTCAGTGGCATCCAGAAGGTCCAGGCTCACAGGTACCACAAGGGCCTTGCTAGTCTCGAAACGAAGTTAAAAGCTGAGCTTGAAATGACCCTGCACCAAGAAGAATTGTTATGGTACCAAAAATCCAGGGAGGAATGGATTAGCTCTGGAGATAGGAATACAACATACTACCATGCGGCGGCCACAGTGCGCAAGTCACGCAGTTCGGTACATCGGCTCTTGGATGACAATGGCGTATGGATCTCGGACGCCTCTGAAATGCGCTCTCATGTACGAAATTTCTACTCCCAGCTGTTCTTGGGGGAGTCCAATGGGATCCTAGGAGGAGGCTTGCATGCGAACTTTCCTCGCCTTAGAGAGATTGATTGGGCTTGTTTTAACAGGGCAGTGTCAAAAGAAGAGGTCCATAATGCTTTAAAAGATATGAAGCCGTTCAAGGCACCGGGACCGGATGGCTTTCAAGCTGGTTTTTACCAACATATGTGGCCGAAAACGGGGGATGATGTTTTCAGACTGGTTCAACAGGCTTTCTTAACAGGGGTCCTTCCGGAGGGGCTGAATGATACTCTTATAGCCCTGATTCCTAAGGTGAAGGGTCCGGAGACCATCAAGCAATTCAGACCCATTAGTCTCTGCAATGTCAGTTACAAGATCATCACCAAGACTATCACGAACCGTCTCAAGTTGATCCTCCCAAAGATTGTGGGACCGTACCAAAGCTCGTTCGTACCAGGACGTCAAATCACGGACAACGTCCTTATTTTTCAGGAAGTCATGCACACTATGCGAGGGAAACAAGGTGCGAAAGGGTATATGGCGATCAAACTGGACCTGGAAAAAGCGTATGATCGCCTATCCTGGGACTTCATTCAAGATACGTTGGAACAAGCTGGCTTCACCGGACTGCTTAAAGACCTCATGATGACATGTATCCGAACGCCCACGCTGTCTATCCTTTGGGGCGGGGAAAGATTGGAGCCAATTCGCCCCACCCGGGGCATTAGGCAGGGGGACGCTATGTCGCCGGCTATCTTTGTTTTGTGTATGGAACGGCTCAGCCAGTTAATTACCTCTGCAGTTGAGAATCAGGTTTGGAAAGGTATAAAGCTTGCTTCTAATGGGCCCGTTCTAACTCATTTATGTTTCGCAGATGACATGGTGCTATTCACGGAGGTGTCAGTGGCGCAGATCGAGGTGGTAAAGAACGTTTTGGACAGATTTTGTGCGGCTTCAGGGCAGCGCATAAGCCTTAATAAGTCTCAAGTGCTATTTTCAAAAAACACGGTGCCGGGGCTGGCAGACGACCTCACAAGGCGATTGAATATTGCAAGAACGATGGACTTTGGGAAGTATCTAGGGGTGCCGGCAATCCACGGTCGGGTCACGTGCAATACCTTCTCCGATTTACTGACTAGAATCAACTCCCGTCTGGAAGGATGGAAAGCAAAGAATTTATCTTTGGCAGGGCGTGTGGTTTTGGCCAAATCAGTGCTGAATGCCATCCCGATCTACACGATGCAAACCACGGCGCTCCCCAAGAGTTTGTGCTTGGAAATCGAGAAACGAACGAGGAAATTCATTTGGGACGGAAACGACACGGTAAACAAAATGAGCCTGGCTAACTGGGATTTGGTTACCACCGCGAAAGAAGCGGGTGGGTTGGGACTCTTGCGGCTTTGCGATATGAATAGGGCATGCATGGTTAAACTAGCCTGGCGTATTAAAAATGATAGTGAGAGCTTGTGGGCACGGGTCATGACCACGAAGTACAGGTGTCCTATAGGAACGCAACAAGTTACGCAGGGAAGGAAAGGGGTTTCAAATGCTTGGAGAGGTATTGCTGAGGCCTGGGATTTTATGACTGAGCATCTTACTCACGTCGTCCGGAATGGAATGGACACGCAATTCTGGATGGGGAAGTGGATTTCACCGGAGCCTCTATATGTGCAGCTGCGAACGCAATTGGCTCTGCCGGACCTTTACGCACCAGTTAGGGATTATTGGGACGAAATGCGGGGCTGGAAATGGGAATTGCTTGAGGATGCCCTCCCAACAGAGATGAAAGCACGCCTCGCCAGTTTCGTTCTCACGGAAGAACACGTGCCGGATGCCTTAGGATGGGACCTTGATCCCAAAGGAATGTTCACTGTGCGGTCAGCTTACAGTGCAATTGTGAATGGTCCTATAGACAATACTGATGGAAGCTGGAAGAGAATGTGGCGTATACGCGTGCCCGCCAGAATTTGCATGCTCTTGTGGCTAGTTCTCCACGGAAAGATTTTGACGAATGCGGAAAGAGCACGTCGTAAGTTGACATCTAATCCTTTTTGTTTTCGATGTGCAGGTCACCCGGAGGATTTGAATCACTTGTTTAGAACGTGCCCGGCAGCGAAACAGGTTTGGGATGCAGCACTCACAAGCAGAACGCGCGAACGTTTAGACACTTTGCCCTGGGATGTTTGGCTAGAGACGAATCTACGGGGTAACGGAATGAATGGTTTCAGTGATCATTGGCGGGAGAGCTTCTGCATTCGACTTTGGTGGCTGTGGCGCTGGCGGAATGATGAGATCTTCAAGCAGCAGTCTAGAACCTTGGGGCAGAAGCTCGAGTGGATTGCGAATTACGAATTGGAGGTCCTGGCCGCTTATTCGAAGCGCATTCACCCGGAGAAGGGAACGGAAAATCACACGCCTGACCAAGTGCGATGGCGGAAACCAGCAAGGGGTTGGGTGAAGCTGAATATTGACGGTTGTTGCAAAGCCAAAGACATGGCCGGTTGTGGGGGTTTGCTCCGCGATGAAAACGGAACATGGCTGACTGGCTTTACATGCAACATTGGACGCTGCAGTGCTTATGAGGCAGAGCTATGGGGGATGTTACATGGTTTGTGCATGGCGAGACGGAGAGGCATTACAAAATTAATAGCTGAGAGTGACTCGGCGCAGCTGATTAGTGACTTACGACCGAAGAGTGCCACAAGCGACGTCACCAATAACCTCCTCTGGCGATGCATGCGGGAGGCCAGTGCCTTCAGCGAGATTACCTTTGAGCATACTTTCAGGGAAGGAAACATAGTGGCAGATATGATCGCCGCGACAGCTCTTGATCATCAGATTGGTTACCGCGACCTCTCGGAGCCGCCGCTAGCTCTTTGCGAAAGCCTCAAGCTCGATCAATTGGAGGCGGCGACTCGTCGTCACCACTGAGTTCCCCGGGTTTTTGCCCTCTTTCAGATACAAAAAAAAAAAAAATGAAAAATAAAAACTGAAAGTTGCCACAGATAAATGCACGTTGGTTCATCCGTTCATCTATTGGGGTACGTTAGGACATAATTCAGAAATAGAATAATATGTTCAAGATTAGACTTATTATTTTTATCATTCGAATAAGGTCCAAATTGATTAGGGTGAGGAATTGTCCAAGTTTTTGTTGGAGGAGTATTATAACTTCTCATGGCCTAATTTGTGATAAAATTAAATCAGACGCAGAATAGGGTATGGTGCAACAACGGCGGTGTGGGGTGATCCTTGGTTGTTAGGTGATTCTGATCCTAAAATACTAGTGGAGAAGCCTCCTCACATGGGTAACATTATGGTTTCTGGTTTGATAAATCCTGAGTCCTTATCTTGGGATTTGCCATTACTTAATGGGTGAACTTTTTTTTGCCAAGTGATATTCAACGCATAACTTGTATTCCGATTAGTCTGGCCTATGAAGATTTGTGGTATTTTTATGGGGACCTGAGGGGTAATTATACGGCTAAAGGTTCTTATTGTGACATTATGGGAGACTTATCCCCCCAATCTACTGGTTTTTTTTCTTGGAATAAAATTTGGAGCTTAAAGGTCCCTCGAGAGTTTTTTTTGTGGAGGGTTGTGAGTAATGTGCTTCCCACCACATCTAATTTAAATAGTAGAAAGGTAGATGTCCCTCTTGCATGTCCTATGTGTGGTGTTCAAAATGAAACTATCATGCATACCCTTGTGTTGTGTGATTATTCTAAGCGAGTATGGCATGCTTCTGGTTTGTTATTGCAGCGGATGAATGGAGATGACTTTGGTGGATGGCTAGATGTTGTGTTGCAGGGGATGGAGGAGGCTCATGTCGTTCGCATGGTGGCCCTCATGCATGCGTTGTAGCTTCAACGCAATTCGGCGGTATGGGATGCGAAGCTGGCTCATCCTAGCCGGGTTTGGGGCGCTGCTTGTGCTTCGCTGGAGGCTTGGCAGTTGGCAAATCCCACGCAGCCTTCAGGAGTAGGAGTACGTGCGCATCAAGAGTCAGGGGAGTCGCTGCCAGTTTGTTCGTTCGATGCGGGGTTTGAAGCTGGCACTGGGAAAGCAACCTATGGCTTTGTTTTGTTTGACGCGGTTGGGGGATTTTTGGCAGCCAAGAAAGGATTCCTTCCTTTTTGTAAAAGTCCGTTTATGGCTGAGGCTTTGGCTTGTAGGGAGACCCTCTCTTGTCTTCGGGAACAGGAGGTTATGGCTGTTGCACTTCGTTCCGATTGTTCAAATCTATGCCAGATCCTTGCTTCGACTACGACTGAGTTTCGTTCATATGATGGTCTAGCTGTGTCTGCTTGTAGAAGGTTGATGAGTACCTTTGTTTCTTGTTCAATTTCTTTTGTTCCTCGTACATCTAATCGTTTAGCACATTCGTTAGCGTCAACGGCTTTTTCACAAGCCAGTTCTTTGTTTTGGGAGACTAAACTTCCTGACTTTGTTTCAGCATTTCTTGATTAATATATGCAGCATTTTGCTTTCAAAAAAGGTCCAAATTGGTCACTGAACGTAACACTAGGCCATTGAACACCCTCAATTGTATGCGATTTCACATGATAGCATATTACCATCCATTTCATTAGATTGCCTGTTTACGTGGAGGGTGAGTTAGACATTTTTAATAATTTTTAATAATAAACTTTAAAAACAAATTTTAAAAAAGAAACACTGGGTGGCCGACGGCCACCTCCTTCCCCGCCCCTCTCCTCCTTCATCTCCAACCAGAGATGAAGAGAAGTTATTCGTCTCTAGTTGGAAACGAAGAGATTTGTCTTCGTCTCCAACCAGAGACGAAGGAAGGGGGAAGGGGGTGGCCGGCAGCCACCCAACGTTACCATCCATGTAAGCAGTCGCCTGACCGAACTGCATACAATTTTTTGCTGTTTGTTTTGTCTCGGTCACTTGCATTTTCAGGTGTCCAGTGGCCAATTTAGACCTTTTAATATGCTTTGATTAATATTTTCGATCAAAGAGTTAATACCCCACCCTGTTCTATACTCTCTCAAACTGTTGAAGATCAATGAGTTAATACCCCACCACTGGGGTTTGATCCTGTGACATTCCCTCAAGAGGAGCCACATAGGTGTCATCTGAGCACAAGGTGCTTGGCTTCTCTCCCTTTCTTATTGGTTGGAGTTGTTCTAAGACTTTTAATTTTTGATAAAAGTATGTATTTTTTAGAAGGAAAATGATATTTTTCCCTCTAAATCTTTCCCCTAATATTTTCTCTTATGATGTAACTTAAAATCATTGGTACCCATGAAATGGGTGACTTCACCAATAATTAAAATAAAAGTTAATTGTGCAATTAAAAATGTCATATAAAAAGGGAAGACCGACTGGCTGTTTCGCCAGTTCGACGAAATTGAAGCTGTGCTGGAAAGAAGTTCGGGCTTGGAAAGAAGACAACAGAGGGACGATCGACGAACTCAGCCGTGGCAGTTGCCGGACACCGGATGGATTAAGATTAATACAGATGGTTGCATGAACAGGGATAGACGAACTGCTTGTGGTGGAGTCATTAGGGATGAAAACGCCGCCTTCTTGGGAGCTTTCTCGAATCAGATCAGTTCGTGTAGTGCAGTAGAAGCAGAGACGTGGGGAATCTATACTAGAATCAAATTGGCTTGGGAACGAGGGTATCGCAAGGTTATCATAAAAACTGACTGTATGGAAGCCATACTAGGGATCACTGGAGCAAAGAATGTCGAAGGTGTTAGATATAAATAATCTAACTATACTAAACAATAGTATATGAGAGATCTGACCTCGTATAAGAGCGGAAGTGCGGAAGCATAGCCGTGTTGATCTCCAGCCATAGTTGATGTTCCTGTTGTGTTGCCTTTGAACGGTAGACCATTAGCCATAGTTTGTCTCATACCTGACTCAGAACCCTAGATGGTGTATTGGTGTCTACTGAGCAGTATGAGTACCGTATCTGATTGTGCTATATCATCCATAATCAGGTATCCCATCAATCCAGATTTATGTTAGGCACATAGTTTGGTTGACTAATAACTTCTAGTTATTCAGTCCAACCAGCCACTTAATAAGCCTAGTCAACTTGTACCACTTAATTAAGGCCCTAATATATAATATATATTATTAGGGAAAATCTTACATTCTCCCACTTGGTACAAGTACTAGCACAACCCTCATCAAAGAACAAAACACATGAATCATAGTGACATGTCCTCTATTTAATCAGAGTAGTGTCCATTATGGTCACATGCATTTTAATTCTCCAACTTAGGTCATTTATGAACAAACCCTATGTTTATTCTCGGTACCTTAAGCGATGTTTCTCAAAATATATTATGTGCACAACTGAAAGAGAAACACATCCAAATTGTACAAAAAGTACACTGTATGATCTCTAAAACTTTATAAGCATGCCTTAAGTAGAGATCTCTTAATGTTAGCATAATGCTAACTATATTCTATGACTTCTTTATAAGTTAATATAAGTACTACCTCTAATGGCTAAGAGCTTGCGGTTGGCACGTCTGTCACTCCCACTCATCAAAAATAGCCAAAAGATAGTCAAGTCACAGAAGCATTCCAATAACTTAGACAATAAACCAAAGGTCTAAGTACATAAATTTGGAATCTTAAACATACACCATAACTTCCAAAATAACTTCAATGTTCACTTTAAATGAATTGAACATAATGACTCTTACTTATATGTCTCACAAAATTATTTTGAGCCTTACAAACCAAAAAGACCCATGATCAATTTTGAAGAAACTAAAGACTCTATTTGTAATACCCCTGATTTTAAACATATTTTAAAACATTTTTAAAGCTTAGGAAATGAGATAAAGTATAATCATTAAAATCAAAGTAATGCGGAAGCTAACTAAACAATACTGAGGTGTTATGCCCCATTTAAGTTACAGACTTAGATGCACAGGCCAAAAACATCTATCAACCAAAGTATACTGTTCATAATGTCAACAGTATGTCATATCAGCTCACAGGCCATCAAAACTAAGGGCTAAAGAGGAACTAAGTCTAGGAACCACGACTCCAACTAGCGCTCTCTCGAACCAACTAGACTGTACCTGAAAAGCATAGGGTATTACAACCGTTAGCGAAAAATTGTTAAGTAACCCACTTAGATGCGTTGAGTACAATATATATAAATATAACAAGAAACTCACTTTTGAGACTTGGAATACATAAGTATAATCTTAGCAACACTAGCTTTTAAAATAATAGAGATAGAAACATCATTTGACTCATCGAAAGATACACTCAATCATACCGACCAACTATGGCTAAACAATGGAATCAATTCAAGGGGACAATGATAAGAGTACAAGGGTAACCAACAAGGTACGGTAACCAAGCATCAATCAAAGATCACATAAAGATTGCTCATAAACAAAGAGTTACAAGAATTACAATCAAGAGATACGATGATCACAATCCTAATCAAGTTCCAACCTTATGCCAAGTTCCAACCTTTACACCGCTCCATCCTTATATCAGTTTCAACCTGTACCTCTGAGACCACCCTGTATAACCAGTCCAACCTTATTTCTCCGGAGACTATGCTCCCTGCCTGCTTGCCGCCGATCTCATAAATATAATCATATATCATTATCATGTGATAATATACCGCCAATCATTTTGAGCAAAACTCATTACCGCCAATCTCATATCAATCATAACACATAGTCATCGTCAGAGATAATCGAGGCTCAATCAATAGCCCAATCAAGAAATAATCGAGATAAGGTACAACATTTGTACAAACTCACAATGATAGGTTCAATCGAAGGAGTTCAAGAAAGAACATGAAGGAAACCTGTGACACCCCGTAAATCCAAATTCTATTTAAGGATTAATTAGGTAATTAATCCTAGCTTAATTGGTAATTTAATCCTAAAATCCTAAAAATTCAATAGTCAGAG